TCCAAATGCTAGTTCACCTGGGAAGTCCGTGTATGGAGATGGGTCCTTTGGTGGTTACAGTGATTCAGACATGGAGGAGATGGACCACAACCCTGGAAGTGCAGAATCTGACTACTCAGAGATGTTCACACTTAATTTCCAACCTGATGACCTTCAGTTAGGAATCTCTGTGTCTGTACCGATAGGGCAGCCCCAACAGACGCAGGAAAAGAAGCCCAAGCAACACAAGACGGACCCAGCAGAGGAGAACGGCCACAACAACGCCCCCTTCACCAAAGACAAGCAGAAGAAACGCTCGGAAGTGCGTCTCTCCAGAGACGAGCAGAGGGCTAAGGCCCTCAAAATCCCTTTCACTGTTGACATGATCATCAATCTGCCTGTTGACGACTTCAACGAGATGATGTCGAAGCACCAACTCAACGAGGCCCAGCTGGCCCTGGTCCGAGACATACGCCGCCGCGGCAAGAACAAGGTAGCTGCCCAGAACTGCCGCAAACGCAAGATGGAGAACATAGTGGGTCTGGAGAGCAACCTGGACTCTCTGAAGGAGGAGAAGGAGCGTCTGCTGAACGAGAAGAGCCAGAACATCACAAACCTGAAGGAAATGAAGCAGCAACTCAACAGCTTGTACCTGGAGGTCTTCAGCATGCTGAGAGACGAGAAGGGGAACACCTACTCCCCCTCTGAATACTCCCTCCAGCAGTCGACTGACGGCAGCGTCTTCCTCGTCCCTCGCATCAAAAAGACTTTCATTAAGAGCGAAGACAACCTCGTTTCTCCTTTGTAATATGGTACTGCATTATCATAGTAATACTATGCAATAACTTTGTAGTCCTTCAGCTTTAAAGTATAAGTAGCTCAGCAGAACTATTGTATAGTTTTTGCTCACTTCTCTTGAATGTTGTAATATTTTTGATATTTTACTTCTTTTGTACTCGGATACTTTAAACAGATTCTTTAACCAATATTGTTTGTAAATATAAACACTTGCTTTTGAGATTGATATACTGTTACTGTATGTGTACATATATATATTGTATATATCATATTTCTGTATGCTAATGATTGTTTCAATCATTGTTACTCATATTTTATAACTGTCCCTTTATGATTTGCTGCCCAGGTTCTTTTATAAAATATTGACTTCTGTGCTTTTCAATAAAGTATTCCTATAGCTGGACCGCCTCCCTGTTTACTGAGAGAACATTGTGTGGTGTACTATGGCCCACGACAGATTGATGCCAGATGGACATATAGTCAAAGGAATGGTTACATAACTTACCACATGTTCAAGTCTTGACTTGAAGGCTCTACCAAAGGGCTTATATAGGAGCAAAGAAAAGGAATATTGTGCTGGAACAAAAGAGTTCTTGGCCTGAACCACTTTTATAATCTGCTTGCTTTTTATTAGAGCAAGTTTGTTTGTACAGTAACCTAAATCTTTTAATACTGCAAAACTCTCTCCGCAAAAGGAATCACACCCACTGCATTCATTATGTTACACAACAAAGAGAACAATTGTGGAGCCACGGTAGAGTGTGCTCAGTATGAACCACGCATGGCGACTTCACAATGGTCCAACCCCGGCACGCATATTCAAAGGTAAAGCCCTACGCAATCAGTATGTGCTCTACATGCACTTTCACACACAAACACTACCTTTGATCACCAAGCCTATTTTCCGCTCTCATGACAAACGTCAGAGGGCGTGTGGCGGACTAAACTGGTGAGAGACTCAAGGGCGTCTGTGAATCATGAAACCTTTAAGAGCAGCTGTATTTCACAAATTAAAAACATTTATAGCTCTGTATGTTTCTATTACAAATAAAACACTCAAGTCATGGAAAATATTTTTATTTAAGAGCACAAGTAACACTTAACATAACTCACTGAATTAGCCAACATAGTTCATTGAAACTGGAGTGCCTTTGCCGGGCACGTCTGTAATGGAGTTGGTCATTCTACATTCCTCTGCAGAAATACTATCCTTCAGCTGACTGAAAAACATATCAGCAAGCATTGTTTCTTATTTTCAGGGTGAGCAGACCTGTCCTGTGTGAAACCATAACAGCGCATGTATGAATCCTTTTAAATACAATGAAATTTTTAGCAGGTAATCCTGTGGGTCATATTTCAACAGTATGACATGTTTGACATGGACATTAAATATATAAATGTTTGCTAAAGTGTTAAATTACCCAAATATGTACATTTATTCTGTAAAAATTTGGACTTGGAATGCACTTTTAAGCGTACCATGTTAAATTACTTACTGTATAATTGCCACATCTTCAAGTACAGTAAAAGGGAACTATAAGAACAGCACAGCAGAAGATGGCAAGTTCCTATTTTCAGAGAAACCAAATAAAATTTCCCCGAAAATTTTAACTTACTTTGAACTCTGGGTTAAAAAGGTGCCAGCAAATGATGAAAAAGCTTTCAGCATCTGAAGCAAACTCATCTGTGCTTACACTTCCTGCCTGTACTTGTGATTACTCTGTATACTCTGTCATATCACTGTTGGTTACTGTAAACTTGTGACCTCAGTTCCTTTCTGTTGATGCGGTTTGTTGCCTGTAAAGTAAAATAACTGTTTAATTAATCATCTAGTGTTTTTGGGGAGATGCCCTTGTGATTTAAGCAGAGGATTTGCCCCCCTCAGAACGGACCCCTTTTACCAATCACATCTGATTTTATGATTGCATTATACCACTATGACCAGCAGCCTTTGCAGCAGTAATCAAATGACTTATATTTAAAGTAAACTATTCTATTATGTTAACATTGTTTTCCATAAATACACAGATTGGTAAGGCATCTATACATTTTAACAATGCATGAACTACGTGCAAGCTTGGCATTCATATATACTTAGTGGCCACTTTATTAGGTAAACATGTACAGTCTAATGTAATCCAATACAACTGCTCAGCCATAAAATCTACTTTTATTATGCCTATAATATTCAGTTTTTTTTTTTACACAACCATAAAGGTGTTTATTCAATTAATTCTATGTTTTAACATGAGGTTATAGTTAGTGGGGGTATTGGTCTCATTCATTTATTTATTTTCTGTAACCGCTCATCCTTTTAGGGGTTGCGGGGGGGCTGGAGCCTATCCCAGCTGACATTGGGTGAGAGGTGGGGTACACCCTGGACAGGTCGCCAGACTATCGCAGGGCTGACACATAGAGCCAGACAACCATTCACTTTCACACCTACGGACAATTTAGAGTCACCAATTAACCTGCATGTCTTTGGACTGTGGGAGGAAACCAGGGAGAAAACCCACACTGACATGGGGAGAACATGCAAACTCCACACAGAAGGGCTCCCCCACCCTGGATTCCACAACAATGCTCAATCAAGTACTGTATTTGAGTACAAATTAGAGGTACTTGTACTTCACTTAAATATTTCCATTTTATGCTACTTTATACTTTTATTCCACCACATTTTGGAGCCAGATATCGTACTTTTGACTCCACTACATCATAGATTATCAGTCCAAAATGTACACTGCTAATAAATCATGATGTATTACTATGGATTAAGCTACCTAACAGTGTATACTATTAGTGATGCTAACGTATTAATGCATCAATGATAATAATCCAGTGATATGTTATACTGCACTAGAAGTAGTTTTAATTTTGGTGCTTTGAGTATATTTTAATGCTATTGCTTATTTACTTAAAGAGTTGAGAAAGATTTTGAATGCACAACTTACAATTTTTTCCTACACTGTTGTATTTAAGTTGTTCTTAAGTGTAAAAAAAAAAAAAAAAAAAAGTATTTCTGCCACATAACTAGTACACAACCTTTAACTATGACCTGAATTTACACATCTCCGACAACAAAAACTTCACTTGATAAAGAAGAATTCATGGCAGAGTTCTTGTATTCAACTTTAATAGATTGTACAGGTGTGTCTAATAAAGTGGCCACCATGTGTAAATAGTTTATCTTTTCTGGGCATGACCCAAAAGTGTTGCACCACTTTCAACTTTATCAGACCTGTCTGACTGATAGCAAAGCAATAAAACATGTAAAGATATTTTAACCTCACTGTAATCCCTGCAGTGTGGTGAAGGTCACAGGCTGACTTCTGGTCAAAGTTGAGCAATACTGGATATCTTCCTGATCCGTTTACCTTAAAAGAACCCTTGCACCCCGTATAATCACCATGTGCACTGTTAGATCACAATAAGAGCAGCCTTGGATAATATTTTGAAAAAGTCTTACCCATCCAGAACCTTCCATGTTATCAGGTCTTTACAGATTTTCAGCAAGAAGAGAATGCCTCTTTCCACATCTGCAAATCAAGCAAAGTGGTTACTCTTACCTGCTCCATCTTCTTAAGTCAGCTTTTTTTTTGTGAAATACTCACTCCCTTTTCTTGTTAATGTCTGAAATCTAGCATTTTTGCGGGTAAAAACTGCAGTATCTCTGACTCAACAGGATCTCCAATGTGTCCAGGAACTAGTCTTTCTTCGCTAGCACCAGCTGCTGGAGGGTTTAGCTAGCCTTGAAAGAGATAGATGCTCACTACCAGGAACGACACTGCAAGCTTCCTCCATGGGCGTTGTGCTCGATGCTGCCTTCTCCCTTCTCTCTCAAAATGCTGACTGGTCCACTGTGCTGGCTGGGGCTGAAGACGTCCTGTCTGACAGTCATCTGCAATCTTCCACACTAGCGATGCTGAGGGCCCAACTGCAGGTGCTTGTGGCTGTTATAATCCTACTCGCTCAACACTGGCATAGGTGGTGTATGGGCCCTTGCCCTAGGACTACCCAAAACTCCCTTGTCATTCACCTTTGAACAAGTACATACAGCAAATACACTATTTCCCCCACAAAAGTCTCCAATAATACTCTCAAGAGGAGAAAGTTCTGGACAGGCTGATTTGCTAAACTTCACAGTCACAATGTGCAGGCAACAGATACATCAATAACTCAGTTTTCTCTTTTTCTGAACCAATGACGCACTGAACCTCTTGTCACTTTACTACACAATTTTATTCGGTCTTTTTCTTCTAATCAAAATAGTCCAACAATCTAGAATTTGTTTTTTTTTGGGAACAAGAAGAGTGAGGGGATTCCCTTATTTCTAATTAATTGCTTATATTTGTTGACACTGGTACTACGAAGGATTTACATACTGTGCTTCACATACAAAATCAAAATACACTTGACACTTGCAATTGAGCAATCATAATAACTTCAGAAAGAAAAAAATGGAGTAACTCTAGCTCATCTGTGGGCCTGATATAACTATGACAAGTTAAAAGACATAAGATTAATCGGCCAGCAGAAAACTAACCCATATAAAAAAAGAAAAAATAAAGATATTAAGAACTGGCTTCAGATAAAAAAAAAACAATTTACTCTTTAACCCTGATACCATAGGCACAATACACACACTTCAGACGCATAAAAGGAAAAATAGCTTTGTAGGGAAACATCTATCACAAATAGGGGAGTTTTTCATCTGCACTCATGTCTTGTGTATACAGTCCTTCTTCCATAAACTTCTCCGATTTAGCTGCGGTAATGTCTGACTTGTGTGTTCCTCTAATGCTTTCAGATGACTGCCTCAAAGTAACCTGCAGCTTTCCTGACAATTCCTTTGCTCACCTCCTCGCCTCTCCTGCTAAGAACTGAAGCCTGTTGAATGGATACAGGATAGAACAAATAGTTATTCTGCACTTTCATGGGCTCACTCTGTACTGTGCTACGAGGGTGGTGCGGAACTGAATGCAACTTACCAAAACATGAAATAATTAATATCGCCGCGGGTTGTAGCCACCTCCGCCGCCGCCAGAGCTGTAGCCACCTGCAGTTGAGGATCGGTCACAGCAGAATATGTTAGATACTCCTAAGGGGAGATTATGATGTTATGTCACTGAATGTATCAGTATGGAGGGTGAAACTCACCACCATAGGGTCCACCTGAGTTTCTGCCACCATAGTTGCCTCCCTTCATGGGCCCATAGTTGGACTGCTGCCCACCATAATTTCCAAAGTCGTTGTAATTTCCACCGCCTCCGTAACCTGAAGAAGTACGTGTCAATTTTACCGCAAGCACGAGGTGTTCAGTACAGCACGTCTTCTATGGATTACATCAAACACTCAGGGTCCCCACACATTTTCACAAACAAAATTTCATATCTTTCCCATGACTTCCAGGACCCATAATAACATTTTTTTTCTTGCCCTACTTGCCAAGCATTTTTCAAACATATTAGACTCAAACTCTACTCAAAAATAATTTAAACTATCTGACACACATGAAGGGAGAGACTCAATGCAGGAGGAAAATGGAGAAACGTGATATTAAATGAAATATGACACAGCAACATAAATTTGAGCTATGTAATGTGTAGAAAATAAATTTGTACACTATTACACACAACACAATTCCATGACTTCTCCAGGTTTTCCTTGACTGTGCTAAACCTGAACAATTTACTGTTTAACTTCAGTTCAACAAACAAAACTCTTAAGTCAATTTATTTATTTATTTATTTTTTTTTACCTCCGTCATTGCCTCCATAACCTCCATCGCAGCTGCCACCAAATCCACCACCCTGGTTGCCATACCCTGGACCACCACCACCGTAGCCCCCTCGGCCCCCTCCATAACCTGGTCCTCCACCATAGTTTCCTCCTGGACCTACGACAATGAAAACACAGGCAGCTTACAACATGACCTTACTTAAATGTGACATGATTAGTTCATGCGTGGTTTTAACATAGCACAGACTGCTGTAAAGTATCTTTTGAGGCCATGACAGTTGTGCAAATTAGCAAGGAAATTAAACCTATAACGGAATTTAACGTTCTACCAGAGCTCACCATTGTCAAAATCATCGCCGTAACCACCTCGTCCTCCACCGAAGCCACCTAAAAAAAAAAAAGGGTGAAACACGTTATGCATTAAAACTGAGACAGATCTGTTGTATTCTTGCAGCCCTGTCATGGATTACACCATGTCTACACTAATGTAGGCTCAAGTGATGTGCCTCTCTCTGCTTTGGCCTGTTGTCCACACTGTGACATTTTCAAATATGCACAACAGAGTGGATACATTTAAAAATGAGTCTTGCCTAGAAGGCTGGAAGAGACAACAGAGCATCTCTGAGAATGCTGACATATGACTCCACGATTCACAAACATGCGAGTGTATTTCTGCTTAGCAGCTATGTTAGAAGGACACGTGTTTATCACCTCTGATATTCTTGAAACACTCATGTTCCGTCACTGAGATATAAATCTGCCCTATGTCTGACAGCTGCATGAGGAAATGAACTCCTATTGTCTTACAACAGGTCTCCTTAAAAGCGGACTTCTCTGCTTTTCAACCAGCTTTATATCATAACAATGTGGGTAGGATGTGTGAATGAACTGTGGTAAACTTCCCTCCATCGACCCAGCACCTGGATCTCCCTATGAAACTCTGCTGGATGACGCAATAAGTGTCATTTGGCAAAGTATTGCTGGCTTTTGCTCAACTTACATGAAGCTCAGTACCTGATTTTACCAGATGGCTATGGCCATAAACCATTTACTTGATTGCCGACATTTAAAAACAAAACAAACAAATTCACAATTTGAAACAATTTCTGGTTCAATATAGTTATTCAGATCCACTGAGACATATGCAGCACCCCAGTTTTGTGCCCAGAGTTATCAGAGAAGTCAGATGTGAGTCATTCCAATACAAAGCTCAATTTGCCTGGAAAATCTACCCTTATCTCTGAGAACTACTTCCTCTTTCCGCTGCTATAAGAAAACTTTACTGTTTATAAATAAAATTGAATTGAATTGAATTGAATTTAATCTTAAAGCAACCTACTCATGCTATAATTTGTGTACTTACAATAACAAATGTCAAACTTCTTTAAATGCTCTTTAAGTTTATACTGATGCAGATAATTGAGTTAATTCATTATTCAGGTCACTGTATCCAATTCCTTTGGTACAACAGCTGAGGGTGTGAGTGAGTGAATGAGCATGTGTCTATTTGTGGTATAAGTTTGTCATCTAATGCTGTTTTTATTTGTGTGTTTATAATTGTGTATTTATGTGTTTATAATTGTGTATTTATGTCTACAGGACCACCTCAAAAAATGAAATGCTTCGTCCCAAAGGGCTATCCTTTAAATAAATTCAAATTTAATTCATCAGTTTCAACCATTTCACTTTCTCTGGTGTGTAATTATGGATGTAAAACTTGTGATCCCACAACCCCTTCTGATATGTGACCATCACAATACAATGTACCTGCATTGGTGTGATTAAGGCCAGAGGCACTTTCATCTGGCATGCAAATACTACTTACCTCGACTGAAGTTGCCACCACCTCCAAAATTACCACCCCTTCCCATGAAGTTTCCAGATCCTCCACTCCTGCCTGAAATGTAAATTTTGGATTTGTTTACAAAATATTTGTAATGTCAGCTGCAAACAGTATGTACAATATTTGTCTGTGAGTATAACTTTACTCTACAGTTGATGGTTTGCTTACCCCTGTTAGTAGACATAGCACTCATTTCCTGTTTGGAAAGAGCTTTCCTGACCTCACAGTTGTGGAAGTTGATTGTGTGGAATTTCTGGGCTGTAAGAAAAATATGAGGAAAACATCACTCGTACATAGCACTGCTTAATGTTTACTGACAGCGTAGTTAAAGCCACACTTGATAACTTTTAGGACAAACTTTGTGTCATATTTGCAGAGAGTATTTCCTGAAAGTAGTGCATGAGACAGTGTGTGAAAAAACACAACCCTCCTGTCTCAATTGGAATACAGGGGATGTGCATGCATGTCATTTTCACAGCTTATTACTGGACTGTGACTGGTGGCCTGCGTTGTGGGTGAGACAGAGATGCAATTCCGACAACTTCAGGCAGCCGCTGACCAAGTCCAAGCAGACCGCACCAAGCGCACTCCTTGATCGCCTGAGCGGATGCTGCGCTTTTTATCTAGCGCCCCTGCTGTCACCCTCCAGCATCGCAACTCAAGTTACACTGCGCATGTGCAATCCCCCATGTTTGACCCCGTGTCTCAGCCTTCTCTTGAATAGCCTTGGTCAGCGCCAGGAAGTCTCTGTCGCAGCTGTCAATCATGTCAATTGCTCCATGAACTGTGGTCAAACTGTCGTCTAGGCAGCGCTGATCAAATATGAATCAAAATTCTCTAACTGTACTGGCTATTTCTTGTCGCAAATGCTTTCAGAAACATATTTTAGTGTACCGTTTAGCTGTAAAATGAGAAAATTGGTCCGGCTAATGGGCAGTGCTTGGTAGTCCCATTAAATTGTATCCAACATGGCAGCTGGGTCACAAATGTTCTCATTTCATAGCTAAACAGTACACTAAAATATATTTCTGAAATCATCTGAAGTGAGAAACAGGCAATAGAGTAACAAAATCTTTATTCATATTTGATCAGCACTGCCTACAGTGACTGCAATTCACAAGAATTGACATGAGGGACAGCTGTGTTCGAGACTCCTTGCCTCTGGTTGGTTGTTTTTCTTTCATATGCCGTAAGACTATGATAAATGCTACAGTACAACAAAGTAAGCAGTGGAGTGTGTTTTCATCACAGATTATCTGTCTCATTGAGTGATGTGTGAATATAACAACAGTCTCACATGATATGAAAAAAGGGTATTTTTTTTAAGTTACCAAATGCAGCTTTAATTTTGACAGTCTACACATCCACATACCGACAATTTTGTCTACAGTGTCGTGGTCATCAAAGGAGACAAAGCAGAATCCCCTCTTCTTCCCAGTGGAGCGTTCCTCCATGATGTCGATGCATTCAATCCTGCCATATTTCTCAAAGTACTCCCGAATGTGGTACTCCTCGGTGTCCTCCTTGATGCCACCGACAAAGATCTTCTTCACTGTCAGGTGGGCGCCTGGTTTATTGGAGTCCTGAAACAGAGCGTATCAGTGAGCGCACACACCAAACATTATCATCACTGCAGCATCTGCCTTGTGCTATGGGATTCATGTACCTCTCTGGACACCGCCCTCTTGGGTTCGACAACTCGGCCATCGACTTTATGAGGCCTTGCTTTCATGGCATCGTCGACCTCCCCTACAGTGGAGTATGTCACAAAGCCAAACCCTCTTGAGCGCTTGTTGTTGGGGTCCCTCATCACCTGGAAAAAAAACACAAAACACAATGGTAGTGAGAACAGTCTACCTGGACAGTTAATGTTTATTATAATAAGAGGCCATTTTGCCAGATTACAATAAAGATATGTACCACACAGTCCGTGAGGGTTCCCCATTGTTCAAAATGGGCCCGTAAACTCTCCTCCGTGGTTTCAAAGCTCAGGCCTCCAATGAACAGCTTTCTGAGCTGCTCGGGCTCTTTAGCTTCACGGTCCTATAAAAGCATAACAAGGCAATAAATATCATTGAAGCTGTATAAAATGTTACAGGAGAATAGTTGAAGAAATATTCAGTGTGGTTACATGAGGTTGTTAAGTATAACGATTAATAAATGTACAAAAATCTGCAGCTATACAGTTCTGGCAGTCTTGACACTGGGTCGTAACGTTACAGCAACAGGCTAAGCTAATGCTAAACTACATTTTCGTATATAATTAGGCTGCCAGATAAACCAAGTGCACGGACAGACATTTTAATGGTCAAATAATATATGCTAAATGGTAAGTAGACAAACCATCGCCAGGCTGAGGCCCGCAATGCAGAATTCACGCTACAACAAGCTAAGTTAGCCCTAGCGGCCTAACGTTAATTTAGCAGCTAGCGTTAGCTAACTATCAGTCACGCTGCACTTTGTCACTAAAAGCTTCCATTTATCTGTCTGCCGTGACGAGCAATATGGGTTAAATAAACGGAACAACAACACACTGAAACAGTAACCCAACACAGAGCTCTCCGGCGGTGACACCCCCTAAATGTGAACGTGACAGCCATTAGCTTAGCTTAGTTTAGCTGCAGCGTTAGCTAGCGTTGACAGCTCTGAATGTAGAGCAACGTTAAACCTACAAAAGAGCAACTATTTTTAATAGCACACCATGCATTCTCTCGCGAATATTACGTTTATGTTAAAGAGTAGCCTTAGCTTTAATGCCCTTTACAAATAACCGTGTTTAATTTGCAATATTTGTGGGTACTTCACCTCCATTTTACAGATGTCCACGGCCGCAGATCTGAGTGGATCACGTGATCAGGACACCGGTCGGTCTGGTTGTCTGTCTGTCATGGATTATAATCATCACAATTAAAATTAGAGCACAGGATAGCTACTGTGGTTCATGTATGCATGTGATAACACAACATTGCATATATATTTAAGATTGTTTCCTCTTAAAATGCAAAGTTGTGTTTGCATACTGTGTCCCATTTTACTGTCTGGTTTGCGCAATGAAAAAAAAAGATAATTTGCACCATCTACTGGTTAAACAGGTACGGGTCTCTACAGAGTCATTAATGCTCATCCAGCCCCTTAATCTTTGGGTGACTCCAGTCCAAAATCACTGGGGCATTGAATTTAAAAGATACCTACTGTAATGCTGTCAGTTACCTATTAGAAAAACACAAGGGCTGGGAATACAAACCCTGTGGGTTCCTATAAACCTGAAGTAACCCACAATTTGGTGTGGCTCAGTGTTCAACAATTGAGAGTGTAAGTAAGTAAATTTATTTAGAGTGCTGGGTGTGGATTTAATTAGATGGCTGTTTCTGTTCTTAACTGTCACATCATGTTTATGTAACAAAGCAACCAATAATTTTATTAAGTTCAGTTTCAGTGTTGGTGATCAGTCAGCTGAAGAACAGGAGCAGCATGGGTGTAGATTTCGGGGGGGGGGGGGGGGGGGGGGGGGGGGGGGGGGGGGGGGGGGGGGGGGGGGGGGGGGGGGGGGGGGGGGGCACAGTGGACCTGTCCCCCTCAATATTTAGGACATGTGCATTTGTCTCCACCCCCACAATAAATGCATAAAAGTAGAAGAGGACATTTATTTTGAAGGAATTAAAGATATTTACACCATAAATTGATGCAGAAAAGGCAAAATGGATACATAAAAATTCCCCAGAATGCAGGAAATTTAGTGTCTGAAGCTCAACATTTCCTGGGGGAGGACCCCAAAGTTACTCTCTGCAGCCCCCATCCTAATGTTGAGATGAAGCCTACCCCCTTTGAGCAGCAGAGACTGAATGTTTCAAATAAAGATGCATAACAATAACCTAATTCAATAAGCCCAAATATAAAAATAGACATGAATATTAATAGCAAATGGGCAATAAAAAGTAGGATATTTTATGAACCAGCTGGAAAACAAAAGTGGCTGAAGCCTAAAAGTAAGGTCTAACTTTGACAATGAAATCACAATTGTTCAAATGCACTAATGCATTTAAACTGCTTTATTTGGTTGTATCAATTATTAGAAAATGTAACATGTAAAACTGTCATGTCGTACTAGTTTGAGTGAGAACATTGCCCTTGCTGCATGCTGATTAAGCTGTTCGGGGGTATGTAGGGGTGTGCAGCATGTAAACACAAAACAATAAAGCTCTTAAAACTACAGTTTGACACAGTGCTCAGTGCACAGTGCTGAACTTAGTTGATATTGCACTTGACAAATCAAAATACTAAAGCCAACTGACATGCAGTAAGCCTGGTGCAGTTGCAGAATCTTTACTTTGTGAAGAGACTGCAATGGGTGTGCAGTGTGTTTTCAGTTATCATGGGTGCTCCTGTGACCACAAGAAACATAAACTAAGCAATACTGTTCCTGTTTCTTAAAGTATTTCTCTAATGTTTCTTCAGTGTTTGTATATTATACAACCGGTCACAAAGGCATGCAGTGGTTTACAATGGGAGTTGATTTCAATAATCGGAAATGTTGTTGGTGTTCAAGGTGAGGCATCTTACAACCAATAGGACCACTATAAAGGGTTGACAGTGAGTGAGATGATGGTGCATCACAGTCTGCAAAATATCATTTATTTGTAAGGTAAACAGACTCAAAATCCAAATAGCATAAGTCTCAGACAGGAAAACAATACAGTTTTTACAGTTCACCCTCAGCAGCTCTGACTGAAAGACACTCAGCAGTGTCTAAGAGAAACAAACCTAGCAGCATTATCTCAAGTATCACTCATATTGCTAACTTTAATAAACATGTTTATTCTGTTTAGTGTATTTGCATGATGTTACAAATTAAAGGCAAACAACACCAAAATTAAGAATTCCAATACGTTATTTCTATGTCCTAGGAAATTTTGATTAACATTTGTGAACATGAGCTACTCTCTCTCAAAGCCAGAAACCAGACAAGTCTTAAACGTGTGATGTCATCAAGTACATTGTATAACGTCTGAGCTTCTCCATAGACAATGTGTGGGAGTTTGACTTTATGAACCCACAGTATGTTTCTTTTTTTTCTTTTATACCCAAATGAGTTTAATTCAATTGTAGTGTTCTCAGTTGTGAAACAGAAATGTACCCATATACTCAGGACATTCCCCTTAGTGCTCTCAGTGTCATCTCAACATGTTCTCAACCCACCTTGACAAATACTGACGCTTTGTCAGTGGTCCTATAGTCAAAATATGATGTGTTAGGTACTTTCCTGTGTCAGCTGTGGATGTACAAGGATGGCATGTCAACTTATGCTCATTACATGTAGTGTGTCTCTTCAATTTTTTAAATAAATACAAGAAGTCTGTGCTCTAGATAAAGGATCAGCACTCAGTGAAAAACCTCCTAAGCCCTATGATAAGCTATTATGGCAAGGCTTAACTATACAGACCAGTGAGCAGTGATAACTAACATGTCTTTGGGGTCATCAGGTGGGAACCTCCTTTCACCAGTGTTTCATCTAGTTGGTCCCATGACACCTCCTCAAAATAGACATATGAAATTTCAGCTGTCTTTTTCAAAATAAACTTACAACACAGGTAAAACACTTTTATTAACTAAAGTGTCGCCAACAAAACTTCATCAGTAGGTTTAAAAAAAAGCATCATTGTTTGACTTAAGTTAAATTGTTAGTAACATCATGTGACATATGTCACTAGCGTAGCATGCTACACATACTGCCACACTATATTAAAATAACTTCGCTGACTTATGGTTTCACTCAGGTCATGAGCAGCAGGCTCCTGGGCGAAAGTCCAGAGTTTGTTTGACCCATCCATCTCTGGCTATCCCCACCCTTCTCAGACTTTCTCACTCTTAATACTAGTGTAGTTGCTCGCTATGTCAGAAACAGCAAAATATCATACTGCCATTTATGGTGCCTCTGTATTGGTGTCTGCCACCAAGAAACACTGACCAAGCATTGGTACTTGACAAGTTGGGAGTGATAACGGGCTGGTCGTATATAACATCTTTCCCAATTCATTGCCTATGGAGCAGCTCCAGACTTAATACGTGATGGCATAGCAAATTTGAGTTTTAGCACTCTGGTTTTGGGATTTGGGAGAAAGTTGTTTATGTTTACCAATAATTTTTGGACTGTCGTAGACCATGGGAATAATGTATGAATTTTGAATATGGGCATAGTTTGCCTTTTAGCAGCAGTTTCTCAGACCAAATGGCAGAGCATAGTCAAAATTGTTTTAAGACAGCTATGCAAGTTGTATTCAGCTGTAATTGTAGAAACACGACATACATCTGTGCCTTTAGTTCAAGTCAGATCTCTCTGACAAGAATACTTGATTGGGCAAGAGTGATCTATGAGCCAGATGCTACTGAGCCTTGTTGAAGCTGACCAGCATCCAAATATATGACTGTTTTATGGTTTGGACAATGTCTGTCATTAACTTTATTGTAGTGTGTGAGGAAAATACAGCCCCAATAAAAAGGGTAATGTTTTTCTGACACTGTTAATGATGAGTATTTATGATCAGTCCATAGTTCAAATTCAAGAGACAGTCTGTGTGTTGCTCCTTTTATTCTACTGCAGTTACTGTATTTGCTTAGAGATAATGGATACATTTGTGGGTTTACAACACTAGCTGAGCAGAAATTGCTCTGTTCCTCTTATCTTTGGATATATCTGTAAATCACAGCCACATTACAGCTTTTACTGTACATTTTTTCCTTAATTAAATTCCTAATGAGTGTGAGGAATTGGTAACATCATTTCGACTTCAGAGCATATACAGTAGGGTACCCTTCGTTAGGGAACATTATTGAAAGCAGCAATACTAATATCCTATTTTTTATTGTTTTACATATTTATTTTTGATGTCCTGCGATGTGGGAACATGTGAAAAACCATCTTCCTTTTTGAAAATTGGACCCCGATGGACCATTCGATGATGGTGATGATATTACGGACAATAAAGGGCTGTATATTATATGTATATTTGCAGTTGATGCCTGTTCAGCAAGACCAAAGCTACACTTTACAGCTGAAGCCTGTGTGATCTATACTGTTGCTGAAGTAGAGCAGATGGTTGGGGTATTGCCCAAATGTCATGGGCAAGGTTTTTTTTTTTCGATGTTTGTGTGGAACAAGCCAGAGTTATAACCCAAACAAGTATTTGAATGCATTATAGAGTCATGCAGCCAGAACTTAGCATACCAGAGTCTGTCTAGTTTATGGTACAGGCCCATAAATGTATAGATTTCAGAACTGATTTGATGATGTATTATTGGAGCTTTGTTACTGCAGTTACTTGTGTTTTAATTGCAATTGACATTTTAACAATTATTACCATGAATAAACCAACTTTAGCTCCAGATAGCTGACGTTTTTCCTGAAATACAGCTGATTTATTTCCATATATTTTTTACCCAGCAGCTTGAATTTGCAAAGACAGTATCTAAAATGTATTACTAATCTCAGTGGAAAGTAACTAGGTACATTTACTCAGGTACTGCACGACACAGTATTTATCCTAAAGCTGTACGGTTATATACAGTTGCTTTACATTGAATAACTAATATTAACACGTTCATATTTTACAGGCAAAACATACAATGCGCTGCATTTTATGTGCTTATAAAATGCAGCGCCTTGATATATATTAAATTACCCAACAGTGTCAACATATTGACAGTAATGTCAGTAATGATAAACAAGTAATATATAACAATGTTACACTGACAGACATCATTCTACCTGCACTGAATACTTTTATTTTTAATACTTTAAGTATATTTTGATGATGTACCATTACCTTTACTTAAAAAACCTTCTGAATGTGGGACTTTGACCTGTAATATTATATCTCTAACTTGTAATATTGCTACTTTTATTCAAGT